AAGGCTTTGGTAACCAGCCTTTTTCCTGGGAGGTGTTTACTGTCACTGTGCGTTGTGGCTGCCTGGCAGCACTATTTCTCCAGGCTGTCAATCTCCACAGACACTAACCTGCCATGTTAGATTTGACCTCCACAGGGGAGATTACTGTCTTCAAGCTTCCGAGGCATCCTTCATTTTTTTTTCTCTGCTTCTCTGTAGGGATACCTGGGAGATGCACGCAATATTTACAACACTCAGATTAGGTCTAAATAACCGAAAATAGAATTAATCCGGGAAATAATTAAATGAGCTAATATTAATATTTTATTTCAGTGTTTGAGAAGCAAATCAACACTTTCCCAGCACTACTTTTGATGTATTCTTAATGGAGTGTATTTAAATATCCCCAAATATGATATGCAGGACTATTAGACTGTGAAGTAGCACAGCGTATTCTTGTTTCCGCACAGCAGAACGAGTTTGGCTGTGAGTTTGATGCAGTATGTGTGTGGGAGGCCTCACAAATGCCTGTTAATTAATGGTGTTACATGATAACTGTTGCAGCACAAGCAGTACACGTTCCAGACTGAATTAGCTTTTACTAGATAGTATTTTGGGATGTTATCTTTTTTTGTAGATACACATTTTTAGTTCTGTGTATTACATTGAGATTTCTGCTAATAACTAACTCTGAAAAAATAGCAGATTTTATGAAGCATTATGACTATATTGGACTTGATCACTTTCATCTTGACTGATGGGCAAATGCTTTATGATTTTTTTTAAATATGGCTTTAAGGTAGCACTGACACGAAGCAGCCATTCAAATTGCATACTTTTGTTAATCACCAAAAATATCATAACTAGGGCCTTGAATGACGTGTCCAGCTTGAAGTGAAGACAGATATGCTGAACAAACTAGTGTCCATTTATCTCTGAGTCAGAAGTGAGTCCAATACTGAAGGCTGTGTTTAAACCCCCCCCGCCCCGCCTCCTTCATATTATCTCATTCATGCACAATGAGCTTGTAGCTAGTGATTCATGTGGTATGCATTACAACAGACGTGGTCTATGGGAGCTCTCCGTTCAATCACCATTCAATTGAATTTGTTTTCGGTTTCTTTTCACAAACTTTTTTCAAAATCTGTAGTCAGAAGATTAAATATTTGAATGTTGAATATCCTAATACCCTTTTTCATAGTGTCTTGTATTAATAAAGCTGTCTAGGAGGCGCTGGTTTGGCCCGTAATGATGTTGTTTGAGATGGGCCATCACACATAAATTTACAGCGTTCTCCATTCTTATCATAAATTGAGTGGTGCACTAAGAACGGGGGGTTATACACTCACATAAAACCTGCCGTTATGGCCTGTGTTCTGTTTAGCCCTTGATAGAAATGTGGTGTTGCTTCCTGGTGTATTTTCTGACCATGAAAATTATAATATGGAACAAAGATTAGAATGGAATTATCGTGTCCAGGAGGCATTTACCCGCCGTGCTGAGGCACACTACTGGCTTAGAGGAGGGGGTGAAAAACCCTGGTCCCAAAGAATAATGATAATACATTAGGCTGTGAGCGTGCTGGTATTATTGCTGTACATTATGTATGTTCCATTTTATACTACCTCACACAGCCCAACCGCTGCTGACGGATAGGTCATTACTCCCCGCACCGATGAACACTTATCAGGCCCCACTGCTGTTTATGGCCAGAATGAAGAGCACTTGTCAGTCAAGGTCACTGCTTTGTGTGTCCTCTTTAATAGTTCCTTCTTCACAGTTGTTGAACTTTGTATGCTAGCTCGGGCCCCCCTCTAAGTGGTGAGGGAGACGGGGAGATTCAGTCTTTTATGTCGTGTAGAGAATCGTGTGTTTGACCAAGGGGAGACTATGGAGAGGTTTCAGTGCTCAGGACAAAATGATGAATTACTGTTCCTGTGTGAGTGAGTATTGGTGTGCCTCAAAGAGAATAGGGAACTGAGATAGGAAGTGATCTACGCAGCAAACAGGCTGCCTCTTTCTTGTTTCCATGTGTGTGTCTTGCTCTCTGTGTGAGAGTGTATGATAAGTTCTGGTGACAGGATCCTAAGAGCCTGATCTAACTGCAGGGCCAATGCTAATGCATGGCTGGTTGCGTTACACCAGCTAGTGCTGAAATGAAAAGTGGCCCGCAGTGCAGGGTTTGGCCCTGGGACAAAAACAGATTTTTGGTTGCCTTGGATTCTTTTAGCCCTAAGCCTGCAATGTTTGTCATCACTGCACAATCTCTGTATCTTGTAGCAGTATAGGCCTGTGTGAAACAAAATCACACACTTGTTTATCCAGACTGCTTCGGTTAAAAAGGCTTGCCCCATGGTGACTGTCCATGTTGTTTTGTGTCATGCTCTGATCATGTTTTTACACTCCTTATTCTTTCATTTGCAGTGAACACACTCGCACTCTCATCTCTAATTCTTCTTCGATTTATGTCATGAGAACATTCAAATTGAATTAGTCAGGTTAAGATGTTTACCGTCCCTGCCCAACAGTAAAAGCTCATTTTGGTTTTCTAAAAGATTGCAAGATCAATCGCAGGTTACCACTGTGTTGCACCATGCAGGCAACACAGCCGACAGTAGACTCTGTCACATGAGGTTCACACGGACTTAGAGAAGCAAGATCTCAAAATGACTGATTCTTTGTCTCAAAAGTCTCCCTTCAACTTCACCCTCTGTCACAGCCTTATTTTGACTCCGCTGTCATAAATCCAAACGGTTGATGGCTGACAAGGTGCTTTTCATCCAACATCATTTACTCACCTTCCCAGCCCGTTTCCCCCAGAAAAAAAAACCCCACCACAGTCCGACTCTCAGCTGTAAAAATGAACAGTTCCTTTTCCTCCGCTTTGATGCAATGCTGACAGGAGTCACTTTGATATACTTGGGAGTATGAAATTTCAATCCGTCCCGTTTTTTTTTTCTTCTTCCTCCCGAGGCTCTGTCTTTGCAGACATTGGGAGCTGTCATTTCGCGACACCCTGTGACGTGGGTGACGCTCAGCCGATATGACAGGTGCTGGACAGCAGACGCACTGCTAGGCGAGCGGGCAATATTTATTCAGGTAAAGAGCAAAAATGTGTAAATGAAAAATATCTATAAATTTAACACAATCGATTTAAGGAACCAATTGTAAATCTCCACACAATGTATCACAATCGTACACCTCCCGATCATCTTCTAAATAAAACATGTAAACATATCATCAGTAATTGCTTGTGGTGGATTGTGCAAATTAATTCACTTTAGATATTATTTGGTAATAATAATAATATTTAACATAGCCATATCGGACCAACTGTCATACGTTTTATCTTGTGTTAATACAGTATTAATATTGCGTTTCATCAAGGTTTTTTTGCGACCTTATCTTAACATTTCATTCTCCCAACTTGCCATCAAAAGGTCTTGAAAACAACCTGTGCATACGAAACAAGTTATTATTAGTAGTATTAGTTAGTATTAGTTGTAACTCTGGCACAACAATTTCCATCGGGATAAATGTAGTCTTATCTTATCTTATTTAAAGAATTGTGTGGTTAACGACTGAACAACAGACAGACCGTCTTGTTAAGATGGAAGATGTGTTGCATTGCGTACCGGGATGTAGGCTTTGCGGTGCATTGTGGGAGCCCACGGGGTGTGTGTTCACAGTGTTTCCTGGATTAGACACCTTGGTATGGCCTGTGGAGAGATGTTCGTAGTCCGCTGTTCACACAATCTGCCCGCTACAGCTGAGCTGCCCTTTGCCAACAGGCCTGGAGACAGGACGGACTGATTTAGATCCACATGTCGCCGCTCTGTGATGGTGCTGCTCCCCATTTCATGTAGGATATTCTCACTTGTGTGTTTTCTAATGAATGTGTCATGTGAAGCACACATTGCTGAATGTTTACATATCAGCGAGTAATAAGTGAGCGTCATCTGTCCATCTGTGTGAGGCCGAGCACTGTGCACCAAAGTCAGGAAAAAAAGCTTGATGTTTCTGAAGTTGCCACATTAAATATGTGCGTCAGTGTGCATATGTGCATTTGCTTTTATTTAGTGTTAATATTTACTGCGTTGTATGTCTGATCAATTTGCCGTGTATCGGTTACAGGATTAACCTGGCACTTCTGTCTGTAATAGCACAGTTCACAGCTTACAAGGCCTATTGTTCCAGCACACACGCACGCACACACACACACACACACACACACACACACACAAACATGTTGACATGCTCATCTGTCACTAGGAAAAGCGCCACAGGCTGTGGCCTTGGCACAAAGACATTCTCTGAGCTGAGTGAAGATGCTTGGAGCCAAGATGCACCCAGTCAAAATGTTAAGAATTTCCGATGCCAGAATAGACAAGCGCAGGCGATGATTTGAGGAGAAATGATGTTGAAGCAACACTGCAGATGTACAATGATGCTTTAGCTGTTTCTGACAACTACAGAAAGGCGTTGGTTATGTTATTTGAAAAGAAAACAATAATTAATTAATTAAAGATGAAATGCTTCAAGTCGTATATATATCTTTCTACAAAGCTGTTAGAGCACAACAATGTATCTCAAATGATTTAATTCCCTCAATGCCTACCCACAACATGCTGCCCCTAAAATGAAAGCTACAGCAATGCAGAGCTAATGAGACGCCATGTGTGCAGGGTGTGGTCAAGAAGGATTGTTTACTCCTAAGCAGGAGCTGTAAGTAGGCATTATTATCATTATTTTGCATCTGCATTCGTTCAAGAAACAGCTGTTGAATTGTGAGCGATATTTAAAGTGGCAGGGCCTGGAGTTGTTCTTGTTCATTCGGCTAACTTAGCTCTGACATGATGGCTTCTGGCAGAGTTTTGTGCTGAACTCAACATCTGTGACAACCGTCAGCACCACTGACCAGTCCTCCCTCCCTCCTTCCCTCTGTCTCTTCTGTGTTTACATATTTCTCATCGCCTATCCTCCATCTTTCCCTGCCTTCCAGGACTGCCCAGTTTTGGGGGGGTTAAGACCGACGCAGAAAAAAAAGTGGGATGAAAAAATGGAAACCTTTGATGCCACTAGATCAGTTTCTTCTGCCAGTCCCTGTCTCCATCACTGCCACGTCAGCTGGTCCCAAGGTTGGGAAGTCGTCCAAACATCTGGCCCCTCCACCATGTCCTCTAAGGTCAGTGGGTAGCATCTGTTTATAGACCCCGCCACCTTCAGTGTCTCTGACAACGAGGATCACGCTGAGAAAACCAGACAAATGCTTTGATCATCCAAATGTTGACAAGATGTACGTCTGATGTTCACCTGCCACAGTCAATACATTACCTCTACACATGGTCTGGATAGAAGTTGCCTAAATAATACAAAAACATCCTAATCATGATCAAACTTAAAATCCCCTATTGCGTAAATAGCGTTATAAAAAAAATAATGTCTTCCCTTTTGTCTGTTGCTGCACTGGATGACATGAACCTTCATTACGATGAACACACTGTAGTTTATTTTTATCTCACTCTGTCCGGCTGTTATTAATGCTCACTCGTGCACAAGATATCTGTTTAATGTGTTTAGACAATGCAAAAAATGGTCTCCTACAACTCCACTTTTTCCTCCTGCTTGATTAACGTTAGCTTAAATCAGAATTACAATACTTCAGTTATCCCCAAGGAAATTGGGAGAGTTGCTCCATTTCATAATAATAATAAGATAAAATCCTAATAATAATTCAATTAAAATAAGTACAATTAAATCAATTAAAAAAAATACACTTTAAAATATATATATTTATTCACAGTATTTATCACATAAGAAGTTATAAATACTTTGCCTCTTTGCCGCCCCTGCTCGGACCATGCCTTTCCTCAATCTTTATTGTCCTTTAAAGGTGGGGTAGGTAAGTTTGAGAAACCGGCTCGAGATACACTTTTTGTTATATTCCATGGAATGCTCTTAACATCCCGATAGCAATGAATATCTTTTTCGGCCGGCCCGGCTAAAATAACTGGATGGCCTACCTGCCTGTCAGCCTTCCATCTGGGCACAAACTTATCTCGTGCCCTCATTGGTCATGTGCGCGTTCGTGTGTGTTGGAGGAGGGGCTCTGTAAGGAAGTAGCAGATTTCTTCCCGCTGTGTATTTTCAAATTCTAGCGATCTCGAGCCGGTTTCTCAAACTTACCTACCCCACCTTTAAGCTATACGTTTGTACAATTTTGTAACCACTAAATATCTTTTTTTTTAACTTATTTGAATACAGTTCAGTTTGCCATTTTGAATTGGTGACTTGTATAACAAGGTTCAAGGTTCTTTATTGTCCAACTAACATAGCTACAGAGTAATTATGTCGTTGAAAATCTGATGTCACAGGCTTCTCCAACAATGCAACATAATAATAATACAGATAGTAAAAGTAATACAAAAAGAAAAATAGTTCTAAAATAAAGTGAGTATGTGGAATAGTGCAGTCCATCTTGTGTTTTTGACAAACATGTTGGAGATATTTCTACTGACATGGTGCTGCCAACTGTTGTCAGGGAGAATGTAAATCTCTGAAATACTGTAGGAGTATCTTTCAGTTGAAAAGAACGTGTTCAATTGGAGTCTCACAGTTTCCCCTAAAAGTGCTTCGGAATGTTTGTGTTATATGTAGGACCATATCCATGTGCTTTATTCCCTCTGAAGACAGAAAGGGCTCACGTGGTTTATCCCAACAACAACGGAAGATCTAGGTGAAGCAGGTTTTGTTCGCCCGATGCTTTGGTAGCACCTGTCCCTTTGTATCTGCTCGCGCTGAAGTTTGAGCAGCCGGCGCTGTGATGTCAGGGCTCTTATGGGTCAGGACAGGAATTATTGAACAGAGGGTGGCTGACAGAGGGAGCTGGCACTGGGAGCAAACAGATGTTGCAATCTTAAAGAAATACACAACCTCTGAATTAAATATGAAGAGCGGGGGCAGCAAGAAGTGGTGACTTTGTATCCGCTTAATGGCCAATCATTGTGCTTTGTCGCTAGTTAAAGCGCCCCTGATTGGTCACTTGCTGTCGTGATGAGAACCAGGTGGAATATTTTTTAAAGTTTCAGAAGAAAGGCTTGACAGATGAGACCAGAACACTTTTTAAAAGAGAGAAGACAGCTGTTTGGAACATACTGTGGATCCATTATTCAGGCGCAGTGGGTCTCCGGACGCAGCATGTTATGTCAAAGTGTTTGAAAGCATTTACGCCACAGCAGCTCAGTCATGAAATCTGTAAAAAAGAGAGGAATCTGACAGAATGTCCTCAGAACATTGTTTTACCACAAGTGTTTTGTTTCCCAGTCATTTTTACACAGCTTCTCACTCACAAGGAATCTGTCTGAATATTTGATGGAACCGTTTCTGTCTTTGCTGAGAGGATGAGGCTTCACTGAGAGGTCCTCTCATCAAATGAATCATCCTTATTGTATCCCTAAGTTTAATTAGTTTTAAATTAAATACATATTAAGTGAAATAACTTACCTATAACCCACACTTGTATCTTTAGTTACAACTTTAGAAATTAAATCTTTGCAAAAATGTTATTGAATCTACATACCGTGTATTCTGTGTGCAACAGACCGTGACACCCGTACTGTGACGGTTCAGCAACAATTCACAATCTGTTACAGTCCTAATCGTGATATAGTCAATCCTTTGAAGAAAATCAACTGTAGATGGATTAAAATAACCAGTTGGATTTTTCATATCCAATGAATTGAATACATGGCAAATGATAAAACAATCACAATAATGCACATGTTATACTAGATTCCAGTTTTGCGCTTGATGATCTCATACACAAAAAAATATGAAAAGGGATAGCTAGCACTGGGAAAAAAAGAAACTGTTCAAATGTATGTAATCAGAATCAAATCTTTCATTCATCCAGTGGTGAAATTAAGAAAACAAAGATACAGTGAAGAAAAAGGAAAAAGAGTAGCATTATATGTAAAATTAAGAGGCAAGCAAATGTTGATAATAATAAAATCTAAAAAGTCCATGGTAGAAAATAAGTGTATAATAATAATTTTTAAAAGAAAACACATAGTTGTATTGCAATCCCTTCTCTATATATGTTATTGCTCATGCTATAGAGTATGTTGTATTGTGTCTTTATTGTAGTTTGTACACAGTGAAAATATCATCGACCTACAGCGATGTTTTTCTCAAATGTACAAATGTTGTCTGCATTCCCTGATTGTTTCTCACTAGAGTGCCCCAACAGCAAAATGCACTTGTTTGGTTGAACTAAAACCATGATGTGTAAGCCGTAAATCCACAGCTGCATATCTCTGTCTGCTTATGTAAAAAGTGTATGGCCTTCTGCCATGAGGCCTGGCTGCGAGAGCTGCAGTGTCAACACTGAGCAGCGAGGGCCAGAGGGTGATGTAAGTATTGATACACTCCTTGAAATCACTCGAGCTGAAGACACAAAAGCAGGAAAGACGATTGTGAATTCTTGGCAGAGGGTCGAGGGATGCCATTAAAAAGGCAAATGTGATTAATTTTTAGTGAGAACGCCCTCTTCTCGGCGACTGTCAGTGAGGTCGGGCTAAAGGGATGTGACACAGAAATTACTCTTCCTCCTGGCGTCTAATGCGACTCGTCACTCCGAGGAAATATCCGGGAGATGGGGACTGTGACAAAAACGGTCTCATCTAATAGACTAACTATTTGTCCAGGCCTCTCATGTGGCAGAGATCCGGCTCAATAGCGCTAAGTGATCAATTGCTTAAACACCACAGATCACTTGTGATTCAACACAAACAAAAGTGTTTTATCTCAAATTGCTGCTGAGGGCTTCATCACATTTGTATGGATGAGGGACAAAAGCTATTTTAAACAATCAGGGAAGCATGGATACTATAAATTCTCATACAGGCCTCATGTTTTGTCCTTTCACCGTCCTGATATGCGTCAGTGGTTGTCACGGTTTTTCTTTAAACCTGTTTGATATTAGATAAAACCCCTGTGGAGTGACATTTTACCAGGCGACAAAATAGCCACACTTTACCCCGACCCTTTCATAAACACTGAACACTCTGTTTGTTCCTGTAGACGTACTAACAATAACAGACAGCGCACCGGCCACACTAAAGGTTATGTCTTTACCGATTTCATGCAGTTTCAGGCAAATGCTTCTTACAAGTAAAAATGTATTTTAATGAGTATATGTTGGCGACAGCAAATTGAACAGGAATCCTATACTCCTATATACATCCTATACATCACTTAATGGAACCGTATTATGCTTATTTGGGGTTTTCCCTTTCCTCTAGTGCAGCGGTTCCCAACCTTTTCCAACTCGGGGCCCACTTAACCTGTTCAACCCGGAGGCCCCCCGCCCGCAGTGAAACTGTGTCTCAGGGCTTCTTAACATTTGAAAACCTATTAATGTGTCATACCCACTTAACGGGAAGAAACTCACCTAACAGACGATATGAACCATTTTTACCGAAACAAAACACAAGTCTCACAAGAAGCGTCTAAATGAGCCCTGAGCGAAAAAATGCTAACACACTTAGCACATAACTCTAGGTATAAATACCCTTATTACATATCGGATCTGCACAAACAAGATATCAATTGGCAAGCTGAGATTCCACAGATTCTACAGGTATTAGTATCAAACACAGACATCACAACACAGAGCTTTACGGAGCAAAAACGGGACATTGTCTTGCCTATGCTGTTGTTCTGATCAAAAGTTGTGTTTAATGGCATTACAATGATAAAAACGCTGCTGAAGGTTAATCCAATGTGTCTGAAATGATTACTGATAATCCATCTTCATATTTATGTCAATAACAGAGTTTTCATATATAGCTGCTATGACAGCTTCCGGTTCCGGGGCATTCTGGCTACGCATCACTCATTCACCAATGGGTAATGTTTAGATGGATTTTAGGAACTTCCCCTCGATTCTATTGGCTCTAACGGTTAAAAAGAGGTGTCAATCATCAAAATCGACCGAGGGGGTCATAGATATGGAAAATCCACCCAAATCACCCCAGACGGACACTATAATTTAACATGTTTTACTATGTTCAATCTGTAAAATAAAAACATTCTATATTGATTCTGACTTTTCTACATCCAACTCACAGATGTAACCTTGCTTTGAGAAAAAAGATTATTAATTTACCCCTTTTAGAAGTGAAG